GTACCTATATTTATTGTCTCTTCCTTTAAAAATAAGTTCTGGGAGGCCTTTTAGAAGTTGGGATGGAAAACTTTCAACACACCTCCCTTTAATTCCAGAAGCCCCAGCAGTCATACCTGCATCCCACCACTGCTGCCATATAAGCTCATCTACTGGCCTTTTTTCTAGAGACTTAAATAAATCTAGAAAGAGATCACCTAGCCAAGAAAATTTCTCAGACACTCATTCCCACCTCCAGGGTTCTCTCTGAAGAGGGCAGAACGGTTTCTGCCCAAACAAAGTCTCAGCAGCCACTCTGACACTCGAAAGTCGCTGCCTAGTTAAAAATTTAACTCTAGCTGGACTGCCCAGTTAAGAATTCTGAATTTTCTGGAGCACATAGCTGCCGTCTGTGCCACACAGATGATCCCATGACATCCCCACTATCTGTAACACTGACATCCCAATAGTAGATGAATGGGACATAACACAGAAACCAACGAATCTCAACTAACAAATACATTAACACAGAAAGTTAACGTGCAACAACAGCTTAGTAAACCCTCAGACAAGAACTTAATGTCTCCATTGTAAGATAAAACAATTTTCACTAATTTTCTTCTATGGAAACATTTTTGATCATTCCATTAGAGATTTAGGGGTAACAAGCAATATAAAATCAATTACTGTTGGTTTGCTATGGGGGCAGGATTGAGGGGTGATTGGGAAAATGGAGACAATGATGGAGAAAAGGTGACAGTGGTGATAGAATTGGTGTTGGAATATTTAATGTCTACAAAAAAGCATCATGTACAACTTTGTAAACCACATTTAAATAAACGTGGGGAGAGGGGAGGGAGGTCAATAAGATCTGAGCATCTCTTGTCCTGAGCATGCTGTATCTTCAGCACCTGGGACAGGGCCTAATACAGGGCAATACGAGAAATATTTCTTGAACATTTAATGATTTTGCCTCACTTTTTATTTGTTCATTTTAGTTCTCTCACTCTGTCATCCAATCCTTAATAATTAATTCCCATTTAGTGATTTAACACTATGTTAATTTTATTTATTAATTTATGGGCTGGAGTGATAGCAAAATGGGTAGGGCATTTGCCTTGCATGCAGCCAACCCAGGTTCGATTCCTTCACCCCTCTCGGAGAGCCCAGCAAGCTACGGAGAGTATCCCAGCCACATGGCAGAGCCTGGCAAGCTCCCTGTGGTATATTCGATATGCCAAACACAGCAACAACAAGTCTCACAATGGAGATGTTACTGGTGCCCGCTCCAGCAAATTGATGAACAACGGGAGGACAGTGGACAGTGCTTTATAGTCCTGAGAAGTGTTTCATTACGGTTAGAACAATAGTTCAGAGGGTATGGTGCCTACCTAGCACATGAGTGACCCCACTTCATTTCCTTGTACCCTGTTTGGTTCCCCAAGCCCTGCCAGCAATGATCCCTGACACAAAGTCAAGTGTAATCCCTGAAGCACTGCCTGCTCAAAAAGAACAAGAACAAGAACAAGAATATGAAAGGTCCATCAAGAATTCCAGGCTTTCACTATGAGAACAGCCAGGTTAACTCTTTTTCTCTTTTTGGATCACATGGGGTGATGTTCAGGGGTTACTCCTAGTTCTTCACTCAGGATTTATTCCTGGCGATGCTCAGGGGACCATATGGAATGCTGGGGATAGAACCTGAGTTGGTCACATGCAAGGCAAATGCCTTACCCACTGTACTATCACTCCAGCCTCCCAGGTTAACTTTTATATATGCAGAGAACTCCAGGCCAAGACAATTTGAAAAAATAGCACAGTGGGTAGGGCGTTTGCCTTGCACATGACCAACCCAGGTTCGATTCCTCCATCCCTCTCGGAGAGCCTGGATAGCTACCGAGAGTATCCTGCCTGCACGGCAAAGCCTGGCAAGCTACTCATGATGTATCGATATGCCAAAAACAGTAACAACAAGTCTCACGTGACATTACTGGTGCTTGCTCGAACAAGTCGATAAACAACGGGAGGACAGTGCTACAGGACAGTGCTATAGTGAGATATATATATATATATATTACTTTACATATATACATATATATATATATATATATATATATATAACCTTCTACCAAAAGCCATTCTCTGCTTTCCCACCCCTGGAGAAAAACATACAAAAAGGTATTATGTTAATGACCTCCACTATAAACTCATAAGTAACCATTCAAAGAACATACTAGAAATCAATTGATATTAAGCATGTTAATAATTAACTTTGGGATTGCTATGTGAATAATTTCCAATGCATCTTCAGTCTAAAATATATTCATGTATATTTTTTCACTCCATATCTAACATATAAAAATTTGTAGGTTTTTCTTCTCCCTCAAATTTTTGCTTGGATTCTGTGCCACAACCACCTGTGCTGGGACTTACTCTTGGCTCTGTACTCAGGGATCACTCCTGAAAGAGCTTGGGGAACAAACCCATGCAAGGCAAGCACCTTACCTGCTGTCGATCTCTATAATCTCACCCCTCAAAATGTCTTAACATATTTGTCAAAAATACCGCATATTTTTACTTAAATCTCCAGTTCTTTTGGAGAAAAGAATCCTAGAATCAGGTATAAAGGGCAAACAGATCTTAGTGAAAGAAGGTTGAAAATTATATGTACAAAGTGGAAATGAGCAAGAATTGGATAGGAGATAATAAGTAAACTTTAATAGAGAATTCACAAAAACTTTAATTCCTGTTTGTCTCTCCCTCTATGTATCTCACTTTCACTTTCCTTCATCCTTTAAATATGATCTTTAAATGGACCAGTTTATTCTCTCTCTTAATTGGCCCTTAGGTTCATTCTGCATCACTACTCCTACTGCTATCAATCTAGTCAGATACTCATTATCTGATACATAAATCATAATCAGCTTTTCCTGTTATCCCTTCATTTAATATTCTCCCCCACTTTGATCCTAAATATTTTCTCCAGAATTATTTTTCAAAACACTGCTTAACTCTCATCAATCTTAATATTCATGAAGGCTCTACTTATCTATAAATCAAGTCCAACTGCATCTGCCTAACAGTTTTCCTGCTTTCTAGTTTCATCCTCCTTTTCAACTTTAATCTTCTGTACTCAAAAGAATCATCTATTAAAGCTTCTTTATTATCTCCTATCTAATACATGCTCATTCCCACCTTGTACCTAGAATAAATTTTCAACCTTCTGTCCTTAAGATCTATCTGTCCTTTATGCCTGATCCTAGGGTTCTTTTCTTCAAAGAATCCCTCCCTAAGTTCCATTCTTACTCATTCTCTAAATTCCTGTTTAGTGCTTAAATTCAACACTACATACATGAAATTATAGTCCTAGTTTAATAAATAAATATATGTATTTAATCAAGAATTACTGGCGGGCCGCGGTTCCCAAGGGCATCACTGGAACTGCCCATTGCGGAGCCCCTGCCCTGCCAACGGCTCAGCTGCAGAGGCAGCCGGGCGCGACCCAGTGGTCGCACTGTGCTCCAGCGCCGAACCTCAGGGTCCCAGGGGCGCTCGGGTGGGGAGAGCGCGGTGATCGCAGTCCGTCGGTGAGTCAGACTCCATTGTCTTGGGGCCTTGCCTGGGCCTGACAGTCCGAGCTTGGCCTGGCACCCACGGGCCTGGGGTCATGCCCCAGCCCGCACGGCCCCTTTGGCGTGCCCCGCTGGCGCTGAGCAGCAGCGCCCACTGTGGCCCAGAGTCACTTCCATTTCTCTGTTTATCTGTAGACTCTTCTCTGTGCTCTCCTCCCCAGCTAGTTAATCACCTTTTCTCCCTAATCAGATTCTGTGAGCTTGTAAGATCAGATCCTTCCAAGGACACTGAACTTGTAAGTTATGTCATTTGCATAGTTTACCTTAAAGCAATGTCCTCTCTGTATGGACACAGGAAGACAGTTAATATTATGCTTTGTAACTTGGGAGTTGATTGACTCCGAATAATATTTACTCCTGGGCATCTGCTTTCTTGACTCAGTTGCCCTTAGTTCCTAGCACCCCAAAAGCAGGGTCCCGACAAGGGACCAAATGGACCCAAGGCAAGCTGTGAGCTACCCTGGCATCGAAATGGGCCAGGCCAAAGCACACAATACTCTACTATAAGTTGAGGGGATGAACATGGACAAATGCTGTCATGATCCAAAAGTAAGTAACGATGAGACTAGGACCCTGCTGGGCTAAGAAGACTAACCTGGCCTGAGGACTAATATATATATATATATATATATATATATATATATATATATATATATATCAGAATATATAGTGAGATGTCCTCAGAAAGAACCAAACTGTAAGTTTATCTCTTACTGTGCTCATACAGAATGACATTGCTAGAAATATTAGAAGTTGACTTACTACAACTATTTAAGTAGATTACTAGCTGAGGAAAGAATGTACCCTTGTTGGGATCCCACCCTTGAGCAGATCTCCTAGTAATCTGGAATAAATCTCTTTGGATGAGATTTAATCCTTGAGTTAATCTCCTTGAGCAGTGGTCTTACCTCTCTTTGCTGATTTGTTAATGTTCAACCCACCTTTGTGTCACCACCCTACGTGATTGCTATATAAACTAAGACTGTAAACTCAAAGGGGGCTTGGTCTTGAGAAAGCAGAGACTGAGGCTCAAGCTGAGCGGGCTAGGGAGCCCAACCCCGGAGCTAGGCGTTTCCCGGGCTGCCCGCGCGCCTCCCGCCTCCTGCTGAGCTCCCTGGGGCGGTCCATCCTTTCGTCCACACCTGCAGCGGCAGATGGAGCTGTGGCTTTGTCTCCCTAGAGCGCCTGCCGGCCGGCCCACACCAGCCCAGAGTTGGCCTTGCTGCGCCCCAGCCCCATAGGCCGTGTCCCGGGAGTCACAGACGCGTCTCCATGGCGACACCTTCGCGCCCTCCTCTCCGGAGAGCTGCGGGCAGAAAAGGCGGTCCGGGAAGTGCCCAGACCAAGCAAGCACGATTCCGATTCCGGCCCGCCTGCCGCCCGCCCCGGCCATGGACGACATCCTCTTCCAGCTGAAGTTCACCGCGAAGCAGCTAGAGAAGCTGGCCAAGAAGGCGGAGAAGGACTCCAAGGCTGAACAGGCCAAAGTGAAGAAGGCCCTGCAGCAGAAGAATGTGGAATGTGCAAGAGTGTATGCTGAGAATGCCATCCGCAAGAAGAACGAAGGCGTGAACTGGCTCCGCATGGCATCCCGGGTGGATGCTGTGGCCTCCAAAGTGCAGACAGCTGTGACCATGAAGGGGGTGACCAAGAACATGGCCCAGGTGACCAAAGCCCTGGACAAAGCCTTGAGTGCCATGGACCTGCAGAAGGTCTCTGCGGTGATGGACAGGTTTGAACAGCAGGTGCAGAACCTGGATGTGCACACTTTGGTGATGAAAGACTCCATGAGCTCAGCCACCACACTGACTACAACACAGGAGCAAGTGGACAGCCTCATTGTGCAGATCGCTGAGGAGAATGGCCTTGAGGTCCTAGACCAGCTGAGCCAGCTGCCCGAGGGCGCCTCAGCCGTGGGCGAGAGCTCCGTGCGCAGCCAGGAGGACCAGTTGTCAAGGAGGCTGGCCACCCTGAGGAACTAGGCCGCCGTCCACCTGGAGGGGAGGAGTGCGGCCCCCCCTGCCTTTCTGCTGACCGTGGCCTTGCTGCTCTCTGCCCGCCTGCCAGCCTGGAGCCCTGCTATGTGCCCGCAGTGGGCACCTGTCTCTGTGACTACACAAACTTCTGACATCTCTGGGTAATTCCCATGTCTCTGGGCCGGCCAGCTGTGCACGTACAGACCCCTGTCTCCTGACCCTAGGCATGGACAGGAGCTGGCCAGCGGACGCCTATAGATCCGTGTGTGTGCAGTGTGCTTCCCTGGCGGCTAGGACCACCCCTTGCCACACACCCAGAGGCCTCCCCTCAGTAGTAGCCACCAGGGACAGAATGGGAGGGCCCGGAGGGTCTGGGCAATCAGCTGCCTTGACCTATGTGCCTGCGTCCAGCAGACCCTGCGAACCCCCTGTGCTTCCAGTACGGGCCTCCACCAGCTCCTCCACTGCCCTCCAGCACCCAGTCCTCAGTGAGGTCCTGTTACTGTAGAGAGGGGACGTCCTCTGACGTCTGCCTGGGACAGCCTCCCCCTGCGCCTCACCCAGCCCCTGATGTTTACTGTCCTCTTGCTGTTTTCACGGTTTCTCTTTGGGTTTTATTTTTGCCAAAACGAAAGGAACCGGCACCAGGCAGGGCCCCAGGCTGAGCACCTGCTCCAAGCAAGATGCTCAGACCAGTGGGACAGGCCAGGCCAGAGCCTGCCACATGCCCAGCAGACCCCTCTGTCAGTGAGACCCCTGTGAGAGACTGTGGCTTTCCTTTCTGCTCCAGTGAACAGCTGGGGCAGCCGTGGGGCACTGGATTGTGTCGTGTGGACCGGGGCAGCCTCAGATCTCAGTATCTCAGCGTTCTGGGGCCCTGTGCTCAAGCAGGGGTGGTGTCGAGGGAGGCTTTGTAAGAGGCAGCAGAGCTGCCCCTCGTCCTGAAATGCTGTTGTGAATAAACGGATTGTTCCTGAGGGGGGAAAAAATTACTGAAGGTTCTATTCTGTGAAAGTTTGTGTATTTTATGTTATGTAATGCCAAGTTTGGGGAAGGTTGAATTTTGTGTTTCTTCTCCAATCTCAGTAGGCACTGCAACTGCTTTAAAAGTGTCCACTGAGGTTGGAGTAATAGTATAGTGGGTAGGGTGTTTTTCTTTCATGCAGCTGACTTGGGTTTGATCCCTGGCCTCCCATATGGTCTCCTGAGCACCAACAGAAGTAATTTCTGAGTGAAGAGCCAGGAACAACCCCTGAGCATCGCTAGGTGTGACTCCAAATGCCAAAACCTAAAAATAAATAAAGTGTCCATTGAAAAGTTTCTTCCATGTATAGTAACAGTTCACTTCAGATAATGTCCAAAATTGTCTTTGAAATAAATATATGTGTATTTCTAAGAACAAAAAATAAAAATAAATTCAATACTACAAAGTTTAAAAATAATTCAACAATTGTTCTATATGTGTTCATTAGCTCTCCAAATAATGTTAATAATGTGTTTCTTAAGAGGCAAGAACAGGGGAGCTGGTGCAATAGTTTAGTGGGAAGGGCATTTGACTTGCACACAGCCAACCCATGTTCGATCCTCAGTATCCCATATGGTTCCTCGAGCACCACCAGTAGTAATTCCTGAGTGCAGAGCCAGAAATAACCCCTCAGCATCACCAGATGTGACCCAAAAAGCCAAAAAAAAAAAAGGGAAAGAAATATTCTACAATGCTTTCATGTACACTCCCACCCTCCTTCTCTCCTTCCCACCCTCCCCCAATACACTTAGTACTCAATGTTAACTGGAAATTAGAGCAGCTTGTTTTCCTGTAACTTTTTACATTCTACAAAATAATTTCACCTAAACTTTTCCTTGGATCTTTAAATTACTTCTCCTTGAGGACCAGAAAATGGTATAGCTTAAGGGTATATCTCTTGCATGAAATCATAAGTTTGATCCCAAATACAACTCTGTATGCTGAGAGAAATTTAGTATTCAATCTCTAAGTGTGTGACCCCTGGCAAATACCACAATCAGTGTGCAATCATAAGAAAATGTGTGTCCCATAGTCACTGCAACACTAATAAAAAGAGAGAAACATTACTCTTTCAACTTTGTGGTGTTACCCTATATAATATAGCATAAAAGATCACCCTAAACTTAAAGTCAGAAGTGTAAAATTGAGTAAAAAAAATTGACCTGAAAAAAGACTAATATTTTGACACTCAATTTCCTAAACTAGCAATAATTTCAAGTTTAACCTCAAATGACAGGCTCTTATGTAATAAAATAGGAACACTGTTGAAAAACTTAAAACTTTTTAGATGTATTAACAATTTCAATCAGCTAATAATAACTGTAAAGAATACTTGAAAATATGCAACTAGATAATTTAATTTTCCATACTATTGATTCTATTAAATATAATTATAATAATGTCTCAAGCAATAATATTTTGTAAAAAAAAGTACTTCTTTAAATAGATTTTTTCTATTATGTACATTTGGTAGTAATTTCTTAAGGTCTGAGACATTTTTATTTTCTATTTTTATAAACTAAAAAAGGCTAAATCATTTTCATCCAAATGCCTCTTAAAATGGGAAGTCAATGTTAAAATGCTATTTCTTTATCAGAAATACACTTTAAAGTACATTTCTTGGACTCACAAATAAATCTCTTGGAAGAGAGTAACACTCTTGGAAGAGAGTAACACGAGAGCAACATGCCACAGAATGTGTTGGACCCCGAACCAGGCTATCTTATCCAGGCAACCAGGGGGGGACTGGTGAGTCCCCCCACCAGCCTCAACATTGCCCCTGCAGCCCAAAACTTCCAGAACTCAATCGATGCCATGCTCACAGCCAATTTCCACAGGCTCAGATGAGCTTCATCCATGAGTAAATCTGCTGAAAAGCCCAACTATGCAGGACTTGTGACCAAAATCTCCAGACTCACACAGAGTTGAGAATGGGTGACCTCCCCACATCTCCCTGTGATTATCATGCCCATGAATTGCCTCTAATGCCATATAACCTCCTTAATGGCCACGATCCAGACTCACAAATAAATCTCTTGGAAGAGAGCAACACAAGAGCAACACACTACAGAGATGCCTCCAGAGCCCAAAGTCACCATCCAGCTTAAAAAAATTAAATTAACCTCAGCTGTATCACCATATTTAAAATTTTAGACTTCCTGGAGCATGCAGCCACATTTATGCTGCACAACATGTCATACTCTACACCACTGATGTACCAAGAGTAGCAAACCACATTTGATGGGGTGTAAAGTTAAGTAAAAGGCAACCAATCTCGGGGGTGGGGGGATTTGCTCGAGCGGGCCCAGTAATATATACACATAATCACACAGGTTAGTAAACTCTTATTCAAAGGCTTAATGGCTCCAGGCAAAATACAACAATTTTCACTCTCTTCCCTCGAAGGAAAGTTTTTTGGATATTTTTTAGCAGATTATTTATAATTATCAATACAAAATAAATTATTTAGTTCCTGCTTTGAGGGGCACTCTTTGGGGTCTGGGATGGAAACATTTGAAATATGGTGATGGGAAGGTGTAATGGTGGTGGAATTGGTGTTGGAATATTAACTGCAATAAATTATTGTGAACAACTTTCTAAGAATAAAATTTAAAAATTAAAAAAAATAAAGTACATGTCTTACCAGGTTTTTATTTCATGCTATGTATAATTCTATTTATATTGAATGTATAAAGTTCAAAATAAATAGTTCAAATAACTTTGGGAGATAATTATTATTAATATATCTTTTTCATGGGAATTCACTATCCAACCACCACCACGCTCCAGGCCACTTTCAGGATGCTCAGGCAGAGCCTCACACATGAATGAAGTCCCACAGAACTCAGGTAATGCGGAACTTTGTGACCTTGAACTCTGGGCCCAATGGGACCCAAGAGCAAAGATCCTCTGCCTGCTTCCCCCAGTCTCCAGTGGCCCAGAGGTCACACCCATTCCCTGCCGGCACCAGATAATCTCCTCATTGGCCACTGTCCAGTGCTCATCGCTGCTTCTCCTGGAAGTGAGCATAAAATGAGGCTTCCATAACCATGCCACCGGACTCCGCGTCAGGCTGTTTTCACTCGGGATACCACAGAGGGGTCAGGTGAGAGCCTTCTCCACCCCAGGAGACCAAGCCCTAACTGACTTCCACTGCCCAACTGCCGCCACGCTCCAGGCTGTGCGACACATCGTGGGACACTTCCTACCCATTTTCCATAATTACCGCACCATGTTTGATGGGGTTCAGACAGTAGGCAACAAGCCATAGAGAGAGAAATATATATATATATATATATTTCAGAGAGCCCAGCAAGCTACCAAGAGTATCCTACCCGCACGGGCAGAGCCTGGCAAGCTACCTGTGGCATATTCAATATGCCAAAAACAGTAACTATAACAGGTCTCATTCCCCTGACCAAAGAGCCTCCAATCATTGGGAAAGATGAGTAAGGAGAGGCTGCTAAAATATCAGGGCTGGGACGAATAGAGACATTACGGGTGCCTGCTCGAGTAAATCGACAAACAACGGGATGACAGTGATACAGTGATCCTTTTCATAAATGAGAAAGCTGAGGCAAAGAGAATTGTGCCTTGTCCAAGGTTACACAGGAAGGGATGGGAGAGTTTACAAGCAGATGAACCCAGTAATCTAGCTCCAGGTTTGCACTCTTAGCCACTCTTTTCATCATCTTTTAAAACTGTGTAATATATCACTTAATCACTTAACTTCCCGTTAGTCGTCGATTTGCTCGAGCGGGCGCCAGTAACGTCTCCATTTGTCCCTGTCGCGTGCTAGTGTAGCCCAATGGCATCTCTTCGCTCGGGAACATGGAGGGCCTCAAACCGATCGTTCATGACCTTGACAAAGAAGTCTGACCATCTGGTAGGTGGGCGGCCACGCGGTCTCTTGACATCCCGTGGAATCCAATCAGTAACAGCTCTAGTCCAACGGTCGTCTTTAAATCTCATTACGTGACCAGCCCATCTGATTTTCGACACCTTGGCAAATGAGACAGCGTCCCTGATCCTTGATCGTCGACGGATGTCAGAACTCCGGATTCGTTCTCTCATTTGAGTGAAACGTGATATTCCAAGCATAGCTCTTTCTATTCTTCTTTGGGAGACCTGAATGGCATTCTCATCTTGTTTGCGTAGGGCCCAGGTCTCTGAGGCATATGTTAATGCAGGAAGAACAGTGGAATCAAAGAGATGTGCCCGGAGCCGGAGGTTCTTCGTCCTCTTAGCTATTT